TATAGTTAAATTATATATTAATTTATTTTAAGTAAATATTATTTGTTTACTTATTTAAAAAATTTCTCAAATAGAAACAGACCAAAAAACATTCTTTCTTTTATTATAGGTAAAAAGAAATGTTTAATTTATTAAATTCAAAAAATAAAAGTAAAATCTTAATATATTTTAAGTTTATAAAAATATTTAATATAAAATTAAATTTTGTTATCATAAAAAGTTGTTTTTTAATTAAATTATACGTCTTAAATTCATAAATTTTTAAGAATAAAATTAAATTAAAACTTTTCCTATGATAGTTTTTAATTATATTTTCATATTAATGAGTAATTAATGTTTTTGGGAGAAAAAATTATTTTCTTTATGAGGTATCCAGAGGCATTTTTATACCTTTATGATATATCGCGCCATCTGTTTGTAATATTTATAACTAAATTAGGTTCAAATTTATGTGTAATCATTTTAACTTTTCCATTATAAGACTATATTAAAAGTTATAGCTTATAAATTTCTTAGCAATCAAAAACTAAAATGATTACTCTATTATAAATCATTATAATTTAATAATAATGTTTATCTTGGCTAAATTAAGATAAATTCTAATGTCTTATTAAATATTTAATTTAATATTTGAGGTTGTGAATAAACAATGACGCATAATGTAACTCTATTCTCTTATTAATTGCATATTAAAATTATTTTTAAAAAAATACAATTTTCTTTTAAAATTAATTTAATTAAATACACATATTGTAATAAAAATTTTTAATTTAAAATAATATTTTTTTTAATAATACAAACTTTATTTAATGTTTACTTTACTTTAACGTGGAGAAAATTGTTTATCAATTATATAAACAAATATTTTAACAAATAAAAATTTATATAATAATATCACTTCGATCTATATTTAAACATTATTAAGAGTTTACTATATTGATTTTACATATTATTTAATTAATAAATATATTATATGAAAATATTTTAAGACATTAAAGAGAATTAAAACTTTTAAAATAAATTTAAAATGTTTTAAAGTAAATAAAGTTATTAACATTTCAATTATTAATTATGTAATCGAATCTATATAGCTTAATATTAAAGCATTTAGATATAATTTAATCTGATTGATGTTTAGTTTAAGGTATTTACCTTCAATTGAATCTGGCATGCCTTTAATTTAATGCTTAGTACTATATACAATTAAACATGATTTACCTTTAAGATATTTACATAGAATTGAATCTGATATGCTTTTAATTTCAAGCATTTCTATGAACTGAATCTAAATTAACTTTATTTTATGATTTTACAATTAAATATGATTCACTTTTAATTTAACGTATTTAAATACAATTGAATCGGCTTAATATAAGATACTTATATTCATTGTTGAACTTGGCATACCTTTTAATTTAATTAGTCATATTTTAATGAACCTGATACATCCTTTAACTTATACTTTAAGAAGTTCAAATAAAACTGAACACAACACATTTAACTTATGACATTTATATACAAATTTAAAGTGATTTACTTTAAATTTAAGGTATTTGCATATAAATAAATTTTATGTATCTTTAATTTAATATTTATATACAATTAAATCTGATTTAACTTTAATTTAAGGTGTGTTAAATTCAATTGTAATATCTGCAATCTTACTGATGAGTATTTACTTTACTAAATCAATTGAAAAACTTGCTAAGTAGCAAATTTGCTTGATGATGGGGTGACATCATCGTTTATCACTTTTACAATTTATTCTCGCATATTGGACCCAAGGCAATGATCGATAAAATATGTCTCAAGCTAGGGTCAAACGATAATAAAATAAGTAACTATTAATTTTTTTAAAATTTAATTTAAAAATAATAAATGATTTTATAAATAAAAATCGATGTTAATAAAGTAAAAATAGAATAAATTGCATATATTTTTTTTAAATTGAAATTAATTACGAGTAATTTTTTATAGCGTAATCGATGCGTGTTTTTCATTAATATATAGGTCATATAATTAATAAAACATGCATAGTAATTGGTTAATATTTATAAATAAGAAATACCTTAATTGTTTAATGTTACGTATACATTATAACTAACCATGTGTAAAAATTATCGATTGGTTTACAGATATTTTGCATTTGTGTAATTGATTAATGTAAGCCAATATAACTAATCATACATGAAAGGTATTGATTAATACATGTGACTAATTGTGTATGCTAATCATCGGTTAATATGTGATAAATCATATGTAAATTATTGATTTAAGATGAATAATGCATGTTGCATTTTATTCAATTGTTTTATAGATTAGCATAAGTTAAAATCTCAGCAAATGACCTAACGTAATGTCTTTTTAACTGTAACTTCCCAACATGTAGAACGCGAACTATAAAAGTTAAAAAAGAGTATTTAGTAGGAAATTATATATTACAGTTAAATCGAAGATGTTTTTATTTTCAAAATTCTATATTATATTATAAGATGATATAATGTTTTAATTATGATAACAATATTAATTAATTAATTATTTTATTAAAAACAGAATCTTTTCCCATCAAATCATGCAACCATCCAGAGTTTGGTTCACTCATTGAGCTTGGATCCAAATGTTCCCCCGCCGTGCTGTGTTCCTGATATGACATCATCAGTGACTCTTTTATATTTTGATGAGGACACAAATGTTGTTTTGAAGCGTTATCCACGCATGACGGTCGATAGTTGCGCTTGCCGCTGAATCACTGTCTAAATATGTACTAGAATTCTCAAGTATTTGACAATTTCCCCATGTTTACATTCCAATTTATGATTACTTGGAATGTATGTAATTGTAGCATTTTTCTAAAAAAAATTCTCCATAAAGATTGATAAAAAAAATATATATATTAAACTATAATAGATTTCGAAGTAAAGTTTGGAAAATATTTAGAAACACTTTAAAATAAATAATAAAATTTAAGGCATCATTTTTTCATTTAATGTAAATTGATATAACTCTCAAAATATTATCATAGTAAATATATCTAATCAAAGAAATTAAAACAGGAGGAAAGAGTAAGTTGGTTTTCAGATGGAACCGAACTCAGGTGTTTTTAATTTGTCAAAGATAGAATAAATATAATTAAGAAATTTCCAAAAGATGCATTCTCATCGTAATCTAATACAAACTTCCTTTTCTCTTGATTTGTTTATTCAAACAGGTACGTGTTTGGTATATAAGAAGGTTATTCATTGAATATTATTTGCTTATTAGCAAGAATAATTAATCAGTTATTACATGACTCGGCTTTTGTATTCAATAAACTTAATAAATTATTTCAATTAGCTAGAACTGAAAACAAACTTAGAAGTCTTTAATGAACAATTTTCATGCCACATTGTGAACTCATTGCAAAGTTCTTGCAAAGATAACTCCTGCATCATAAATTTTTGAAAAAAGTTCTTTAAATGAAGTCATGTAACTGTTGCATTCTTTGAAGTATTCATGAATACTTGCACAGAGTAAACAAAAAAGAATGTCTAAAACAATCTTATCAATGTTAATGAATTATTTCATCAAGGTCTCTTCAAATAAAGGATACTTTGTTATAATGAAAATTAAAATATGAAAGAAATGTCATGGTTCGCTTTCAAATTAAGGTTAAACTAAACAATAGAAATGTTTTTTATATTATATATTAATTGAAGAATATCGTTTTCTTATAATAATAATTGTAGAATGAATACTAAACGAAAAAATAACACACCAATACTGGGCATTATAGAGATTATTGCTCCGAATGTTTTATATAATAAATGGTCTTTATCTTGTGCCATTTGCCTCGTATGACGAATTCCTTACTTTAAAGAAAATCGTACAAAGAGTGACCAAATCTTATATTATATAGAAAATGATGTGGAGCCGAATTACAACAACTGGACTATCTTTTAAAGTACAGAGAAATATGAAACATATTATAAAACCTTAAGCATTATGACTAAGATCGTTAATGATGGTAATAATTAAATTCATTATTAATTTATAGGAAGAAAAAATTGTTAAGTAGAGTAGAACTTGAGGGAATGTGGGGACCCAGGACTAATATTATAATCCATTCGGTTATTTCATTTGATAATATATTAGAGCATTCTTATTATTATTAAATATAATAAACTAGAAAAATATTATATTTAGAAGAAATATATATAAAATCGCATCGAAAATTTTAAAATAATTTTATAAGTAATTATTACAATAATTTTTTGAATAAATATACTCTATTACCGGCTCTACACTGAAGAAGTTTTATTAATATAAATTATGTTTTTATTTAATGTAAATTTAGTATTTAGTTAGGTTTTTATTATTCTTGATAATGTATTGATATATTATTTACTATCTATAAAATCAAAATTAGTTTACAATTTATTATTATAATATTAAAATTATCAATAGGAAAGCTTTTCATATAAATTAATATTTTTATTGTTTATCAAAATGATTTTTGTTTTATTGTAATTGAAACAATTAGAATGTCTTTTATTACTTGTAAACATACATAAAATATTTCTCGAGTAAACTCGTGTGAAAATTAATTATAATGAGTAATTTATTCCTTACCATTTATCTTTATATGGAGTTTATATTATCTGAAAGTTCTGTTTTATAACTTTCACGGGATGAATATATATATTTAAGGGATTCGAGTACATGTATATTCGATCTATTCAAGAACGTAAACTATATATTATCGTCTATTTTAAAAACATGGTCCAATATAGATGGGTACAGAATAAAACTTATTCTGCGTTTATCTACAAACATTGTAGATAGGCCCAGAAATAAGGGGATCAGGCTCAGAGAAAGAGAAATCGCAAATTTAGTCAATTATGTAAAAAAATACGAAAATGATATTAGTTCTTTTTAGAAAATGATAAAAATTCTACTTTTATTTATTTCATTCTAATATTCTCAGAGAGATTCATTGTAATCATTATATTCATTCTAATATTCTCCGTAAGACTGAGAGGAGTGGGTATTCTCGCANTCGAATTTTGTAAGTAAATATATAATAATATTTATTTATTGTAAAGTGCATAATAATAGTTAAACGTCAATAAATAAGTATTATCAACTAGTAGGTTGCGAAACTACAAATTAGGCAACATTATAGTTTTATACTGTAAAAAGCGTGTCTTAAAAAATGTCGTAATATTAAAGAAAATAAGAATTATTTTATAAATAGGTCAGAGTTGAACTGATAAAAAGTAAAAACGGTATAAGTTTAATTTAGCTGCCGTGAACTTTGAGTTATGAACTGTTTTCTGTTCTTTTTCCTGAATAAAGACATTTATTTTGATATAATACATGCATATTTTTTGTTGAATGTATTCACTTAATCTGCAACTTTAAGAGATTCCTGTGAAATTTATAGTCTTTCGATTAATAAAAAAGGTTTCTCAGCTTTCCTCTAGATCCACAAGAATTCAGAAAAATCTATTTTATGAATAAAAATTTATTTAAAAGGAAAAGAAAAAAATATATAGAAGTTCTACCAAATTAATGATAAATTTTGAAAGAAATAAGATTAAAATACGATACAAGATTTTAACAAAAATTGGTTGCATGAATGATGCTTTAAGAAATTAAGTGTCTGCGTTTAGTTTTCAATCTGATAGTCGTTTAAACAAAAATGTATTCAATCAATTTTCGTTAAAATCTTGTAACATTTTTTACTATTCAAAAAAATAAATTTGGCAGAAGACAGTCTTTATTCAAGAACTATTTTTCTCTTAAATCTAATTTCTTTCTTTATCATTTCTTAAGAAAAAAGGATATTAAAGGATTATCTGACAAATTTCTCTCTAATTCGTGTTGAAACATTTATATCAAATTAAATAATGTCTTTTTAACTGTAACTTCCCAACATGTAGAACGCGAACTATAAAAGTTAAAAAAGAGTATTTAGTAGGAAATTATATATTACAGTTAAATCGAAGATGTTTTTATTTTCAAAATTCTATATTATATTATAAGATGATATAATGTTTTAATTATGATAACAATATTAATTAATTAATTATTTTATTAAAAACAGAATCTTTTCCCATCAAATCATGCAACCATCCAGAGTTTGGTTCACTCATTGAGCTTGGATCCAAATGTTCCCCCGCCGTGCTGTGTTCCTGATATGACATCATCAGTGACTCTTTTATATTTTGATGAGGACACAAATGTTGNATTGAAAAAAAGGCTTTTATATGTATTAAAACATATTCTATAAATATAATTGATACTTTTTGATAACCTAAAAAACATTGTGGAAAAATACACACAAAATTTACTCGCGTGGGTCTGTCAGACATTCCTGAGATTTTTCAAGACCATTCATTCGCTGTAGGGATAATGAAAAAATAGAAAATATTTTTACAAAGCAATAATGAAACTATAGTCTTTTCCAGAATAAGAACGGAACTGAAGTTCATTAGATTATTAAGAGTTAATTTATAAATAGCACAAAACCTATTTAGAACATATATTAGAAAATTATGACATGTTTAAAGTTTAATAATCTATTTGAAATTTCCGACAATTATACAAGAACTTTGAGATTATAAAAAATACTTCACATGGTGTAATATCACGTGATGTTTGAATTTGCGAAATTACGGTGGTGCTGTGATGCTATTCAAAATCCAAGTGTTATTCTGAGAAATACTTATTGGGTTCATTTGAATGATTTTCGTAATCGAAATGAATTATTCAAATCTGTAAAATTTTCTTTTTTAAACTAAATTCTTGTCATTTTTACGATTTTTAACTATGAAATAATAATTTGCTTACGTTAAATTTTCCACATTAAGCATAAAAATGTGAAAGTCTTTTAAAATTTCATTACTAATAACATAACACTTAGCTTATTATTTTTTTAAAAAAATGGAAGAAAATGGGGATATTTCGAGGGAACAATCCAGAAAATGTTCTATATTCATTCAAGAATTTAAGCGCCGTAACCTGAAAGTATTGTTACATAAATGCATATTTTACAGTGACATATCTATGTTATTGATCTATTTATTCAAACCATTTCGAATTTTATATAATTGATGAATTTTATGATTCTGACCTATTTCTTCGGTTCTCAGGATAAAAATCCAATAGTCATACATTCTTCACTTTGACAATCGAAAGTATTGGCTGATATTGATTTTTTGTGGCCATATCGCAGAGAAAACTATATATCTATATCCAATAAAAGTTTTCAGTGAGGTTTAATAATATTTTAAAATAAATTTTTAAAACTAATCTATACTTTTCTTCTTCTTTTTCCTGCCTTTGAGCCTTTAAGACTCTTGACAATTTATTCAGCCCAATATTTTGCAAAGTCTCATACAAAATATAAATACGAAGCCTTTGCAAAATACTATACTGAGACTTAGTCATGAATAGAACTTCTGTAAGCCTTTTCTAAGCCGGGTCTCTGCAAAAACCCATTGTATACACTCTTGAAATCGTCTCTATACGGCAACAAACACAGTTTTAATTATGGAAAATTGTATCTTAAAATATTTAACAAAATCTGTAGATTTTATAAACAAATTATTGCAAATATTGACAGCCTCGATTAAATTAATTAGTATTCCATCTTTTAAAAAGTTTGTTTTTCTTTATTTAAATTCTAAATAAATAAATTTCTTCTTTAAGAAAGTACAAAATTTTGTAACTTTTTAATAAAGAAAACAATTCAATATCAAACTGTTAGAGAAAATTAAAAGAAAAGGAACAAATAATCTAATTGAATTCATATTGAATTTTATTCAAACAAACCAAAATTTGGTTTACAACTACATTTTTCACCTTTGTATTTTATTAAAATGACATCATTTTATGGTTAATTTTTACAAATTCATTCGAATTATAACAAATACAAGAATTTATCGACGTACTTCTGTTGATAATCTTTAAAACATGAATATATCTAAAAACTCTTAAAGCTAATGTTTATAAATATGTTTTAATTCCTAATCGTTTTGGACAGATTTATTTTGTATTTACACATGTCGTATACTACCGATACCGCATACAGTTACAAGAATCAGTGTAAATTGGCTGGAATCATGAATATTTAAAAATTAGCACAAGAACAATCAATACCGTGTCAAATATATATATGTATATAATATGTATATATATCAAACTTTCAGAACTGTTATTGATATACATACAATTCTAATCATTTAAAAACTATCTAATTAAGTATTATTAATAATATTTCTCTATGAAGTTAGAAAAAGACATTACATGAGAAATTTATCCAAGATTATCGCATGCAAATATTGTTTTTTTCTTTTTTTTAGAGTGGTCGACGGATATTAATGAAGGCGCTATCGTTTACAATCATTATCAGATAACAAAATTTCATTCTGATTAGTGTTATGTAACATTTTAAATGCTACAATTTAAAATTAAATAATGATAATTGTGCATTAAACTAAAAAATAATAATAATAATAATGAAATTATTTTAAAATTAAAATCTATTTGGCATTTTCGTGATCTCTTCTTCGTATCATAGCAAAATGAGTAAATTGTAATTTACCGTTCTTCTTATTACCTCTTTCCAATATTCCAGTCATACTATAACCCATACGAAAATCATTAGTGGAAACGTGAGATGTCAAATACATTTTGCAATCGGGTTCATCACTCTTTTTAAACTTCCCTTTGATATACATAGTTCCTTTACCAAGATCTGTAATCTTACCCCATGTAGCGTGTCTTCTAGTACCGCTAACTTCTGTAATCTTGCAGATACTCCTACTCCACCACGGTCGTTTAACAATCCAATAAGCCGAAGGAGCATTACGAGCCCAACCTTCATCAGGGAACAACATTATCTTGTTTGGAGAACCTTCATGATTTAAAATTTTCCTGCAACACTTGCCGTAGTTTTCGTAGTAAAATAATTGCACCATGACTAGTTGAAATCGATAATATCATCAAGGAGAGTCGTACATTGCCCGATTCTTTCACTAAAAATGTAATATATAAGCGTTAAAATGGATAAGATACGAAATGCTTCTGTGTCACATTTCCTCCATCTTCTGTATCGGATCGTTCCAAATAAGCAAAGACGTGCGCTTGCGTCGAATTTCCATCACGTGTAAAGCGGAATTACGTTTCCACTTCGGATTATCCGATCGATCGATGTTATATTTCCCTTTCCAACTCGCTATTCTTATCTTTCTCCTATCTTTACTAAATAAAATAAAATATAGTAATATTAATACTTCACACTTAACTTGTGTAATAAATATCAACAATATTTCAACGTGCTTATTCTTGATATTGATATCACCCATTTATTTTAGTTATATTATATCACATCTTAATGTTATCAAAGGGTTTCCATTCATATATTTTCATGTTTATTTAAATTACTTTTAGTGATAGTTTTTATACAATTCTTCTTTGATTTATATTTTTATATTCACTAAATTTCAGGATGACTTTTATTATATTAGTATACTACACTGTAAGATTTTATATTGCAAATCTTCACAAATTTTTAAAACGTTTTTTTGTTATTATTTCTCGAAATTATTCTTTGATATTCGAGTATATACTTATTTAATGTAAATATATCAATACTTTACAGACTGATATTTTAAAAAATCTTCTCCAAATTGCTAAATTATTCACAAATTAAACGATTTTAAAATCAATTCCATCGTAATTTTTAACTGGTATTCAAATATAATTTTATATTAATTAAATATAAAAATATTATTCAATTATATAAGTTAATTTTATCAAATCTTTACAGATTTACTTTATTTAAGCTTTGTAATTAAGTAGAAAAAGGGTTTGTAACTAAATTTACTTTCTAATCAATAACTTCTGCTATAATTAATCATTTTTTAATAATAATAACATGATCACTAAAGTACTTATTGAGGAAATTAAAACGTAATTTAATTAAAATAGAAAGAATAAACGCTTATGAATAATCTATATCTGCAATATTTTATAACCACTTTTAATGCAGGAAATGGGAATATTTTCTAAAGCGAAATGTGATTTCTTCCCATTACCATCGAACCATAGGACATAATAACGTAGCTTCTACATCGTGTCTTGCCAGGAGGACACTGTTGTTGCTATGGTAACCGAGACCTGTAGCAATGCCCACGAAATTCCAGACATTTACAATCGATATCCAACATCCCCAACATCTTCCTCTCCCATTAAAATGAATAAAAATAATTCATTTAATAGGCATTTAATTTTAAATTGGATTTTATTAAAATAACTTTTAATCCAGAAAATGTTCTATATTCATTCAAGAATTTAAGCGCCGTAACCTGAAAGTATTGTTACATAAATGCATATTTTACAGTGACATATCTATGTTATTGATCTATTTATTCAAACCATTTCGAATTTTATATAATTGATGAATTTTATGATTCTGACCTATTTCTTCGGTTCTCAGGATAAAAATCCAATAGTCATACATTCTTCACTTTGACAATCGAAAGTATTGGCTGATATTGATTTTTTGTGGCCATATCGCAGAGAAAACTATATATCTATATCCAATAAAAGTTTTCAGTGAGGTTTAATAATATTTTAAAATAAATTTTTAAAACTAATCTATACTTTTCTTCTTCTTTTTCCTGCCTTTGAGCCTTTAAGACTCTTGACAATTTATTCAGCCCAATATTTTGCAAAGTCTCATACAAAATATAAATACGAAGCCTTTGCAAAATACTATACTGAGACTTAGTCATGAATAGAACTTCTGTAAGCCTTTTCTAAGCCGGGTCTCTGCAAAAACCCATTGTATACACTCTTGAAATCGTCTCTATACGGCAACAAACACAGTTTTAATTATGGAAAATTGTATCTTAAAATATTTAACAAAATCTGTAGATTTTATAAACAAATTATTGCAAATATTGACAGCCTCGATTAAATTAATTAGTATTCCATCTTTTAAAAAGTTTGTTTTTCTTTATTTAAATTCTAAATAAATAAATTTCTTCTTTAAGAAAGTACAAAATTTTGTAACTTTTTAATAAAGAAAACAATTCAATATCAAACTGTTAGAGAAAATTAAAAGAAAAGGAACAAATAATCTAATTGAATTCATATTGAATTTTATTCAAACAAACCAAANATATATATATATATATATAGCATATAAGCTATTATTGTTAATAAAAATCAAAATAAAAATTCATTAGACTAATGTATTATTTTAATTTAGATAATTTATATTTTAAGTATATTTTATTTATTACGCTTTTATATATAATGAAATTCAACAGACTAAACAAAATAAATAATTCCGTTCGATGAATTTAATGTATTTTATTGAATTTGGCGTTATAAATATTTTAAAATATATATAATATTTATATATTTTTGTGTACCACTTTTAATAAAAAGTAATATAAGTTCAAGGCTTTATACGGTTTTAACAAAATATAATCCACTTACTTAAAATTGTTTCACACTTTTAAGTTAAATTCCATTAACTCTTTGTATTGATCCATTAATGAAATGATTAATGTTCCTTTTCTTTAATGAACATATTTTCTTTTTTTCCCAATTATTCTTAATTGTACATATTACATCGTTACTAAAACAATGAATAAAGAATTAGAAATCGACTTCTGTAATTGAGATTTTAATATTTAATTTACTAAAAATTATTTTTACTTTTGTAATAGCTGACGTTAATACACTTTTATCTGAAAGGGTTTTGTTTTAGTAAATCTAATAACCTTATTGTTTATATAACTCATTATCCTTTAATACAGAATTTTTCTCTTGTGATTTCATTTAAATGCTATTTTTAATTGAATTTTTCATCTTAATCTTTTTTTTTGTTTGTTTTATTTTTCAAATTAAACTTTTTAAATATTAAAATTAAACGTTTCTATTAAATACAGACCTATATGTTTTTTTTATTATTGTTTTTAAAATAATATTTTATAATAAAATATTAAAGCTCTAAAGTATTTGCCTTAACTGAATCTTGAGGTTAAAGATTATAGAACATTGATTTATGATCTTTAGTATTATAGCAGATTTTTGATAGTGTCATACCTTAATCTCTGAAAGTTAGATTGTGGGTTGTACTGTTCATTTTTCTTCGGTGAATCTACTTTAAAGATGTTAGACATCATTTATCTTTAATATTTGTATCTGTGTAGGGAGGAATAGAGAATTTGTATAGGATTTTTTATGTAATCTTTAAACAAATGCAAATTTTAATACCCATTCTTATACAAATTCTATTTGCAGAGTTTCATATTATTATCTAATTTAATTAAATATCTTATTACTTTTCATTAGCATACAAAATATGCTCTACTAAACTTAAAAACAAAAAAATAAACGTACACATATAATTTTGTATTTATATAACATTATTATACGTTTTAATAGTATACGTATTATAAAGTAATCATTTTTTATTCAGAATATTTATCATTCAAACTAAGTATATAGAAGTTTTAACTATAGAAATTTAGTAGCGTGTACAGCATAGGTGTTAAAATTAATTAAACGTGTATTGCGTTTCATGTTTACACGCTGAGCATTACTAGCTGAAAAGAAGTCATAATGTGAAATCAATCCCTCAACATAACTGATATTGTCTAAAATAACCTATATTTTATTAAAATTGGAGAGTAATATATTATAATTAGTATAAAATTATTTTAAAATATAATTACCTTTTAACAATTTATATTATTTCGATAAATAAAAAAATAATTTATTCAAGTTTCTACATAATATTTAGTACTGTTTGAATTTGTAAATAATGTTATTTTAATTTAATTTTATAAAATAATTTCTTTATAATATTGAAGTAAATAAAGTGTAAACATATTTATAAAACTATTTTTACATTTTATTTACTTCAATATTACAAATTCAAAGTAGTTTATTGATTTCTTACATCTACATTATATTAAATATTATACATAGAAATGATTTATTACACAAGAACATGATATAGAGTACGATTTTTAAAATATATACGTATAATTAATTAATAATAACTTTAAAAAATATAATAGAAAAATGTTAATTAAAATCTTATTAATTAATAATAATGAAAGAGTACGTAATATAATAAAATAGTGTTAGCTTATAAGTTAGCATTAACTAATAATTATATAAGTTACATTTTAACGCATTTATTTCTTTAAAAATATTCAAAATTTATTAGAAATATTATCGTAAATTTTAAATATTTTGAAGACAATTTATAAAACATAATTTCTATAGAATTAAAAAGTATATTTTAAGTAAATTAATTAGTTTAAAATTCTAATTATTAACTTAACGCTTCAAGTAATATTTCTATTTATAATAATTCAATCGTATATATTTATGTATTTGTAAATAAAGGCTCTAATAACACACTTAATGTTACATTATAATATTCCTGAATAAACCGAATGTTATTTTTCAGTTGAGTTCATACATTTAACAAAGTATATTAACGTTTCTTTAACGAACTTTAGTCACGAAATTAGGGAGAAAGAAAAACTTAAAGCACTTATTTTGTTCTACAATCTAACATGATATTAAATGATCACAAGAAAAATAAATAATCATGGCATCACGCTAATCGTTACTTATTTCTTCTCCTCTTTCCAACCGAAAAAAATCCATTAGTAAAAGATGTTATACTTCATACATCTATCTACTGACACACTGAATTCTGCTACACTCTGATTAGTAAAATAATGTATTGGTTATATATCTTTGAAATATTATATACTAAGAATCGATGAAAGATCGGTATAAACTATAAACTTATTCAGAGTTATTATTCTATCAAGTAAACTTGTGTATTCTGTATGACTAATTATATTATATTACATACAGTTAATAAATTATATTAAATACAGTTAATAAAGCATCTTTTAATATGTTTAAATTTAGCATAAATAAATAAATATTAAAACAAAATTTTAATAAAAACTTTTCAATATTTAATTATTAAAAATACAAAGAAATTTTTATGATTTATTTTATAAAAATAATTTGAGGTATAAATAATCGAATATTCCTTTCAAAATTTC